CGGCATTTTGGTGATTTAAGCGACATTATTCACCGGTAATGTTTCAAATTTGGTATTTAGCGACATTAGTCAGCGAAATTGTTTCAAATTTAGCATTAGAACTTCGAAATGGATACTACAGCCTATGACAGAAAACTGTCTCTGAAGGTCCACCTCTTCGCATAACCCCCCATATAATGGTACCTCCCTTTTTTCGGCATTTTGGTGATTTAAGCGACATTATTCACCGGTAATGTTTCAAATTTGGTATTTAGAATTCGTAATCGATGCTACAACCTATGACAGAAAATTATCTGTACAGGCCCACGCCTTCGTATAGCCCCCATATAACGGTACCTCCCGATATTGTTGATTGTAGCAACATTATTCACCGGAATTGTTTCAAATTTGGTATTTGTAATTCGTAATGGGAACTACAACCTATGACAAAAAATTGTCTATGTAGGTTCAATTCTTCATATAGGCCACATATATCAGTACCTCCCTAAATTCGTTATTTTGACGATTTTAGGTACAATATTCACCGAAATTGTTTGAAATTTCGAATTTCTTTATGGGTACTACAGCCTGTGACAGAAAATTGTATATGCAGGTCCAGGTCTTTTTTTACTTGTTCTAGGCTCAATTTGGTCGAAACCCCCAATTTCATCCCATTTGGACTACTAATACACGTTTGGTGAACAATAAAAAGCAAATCGGACGAAGATATATATGGGAGCTATATTCAAATCCAAACGATATAAATAAAATTTGGCAAATGTATTTCTGAACAGTGTTTGATATATTTACCTACATATCGTTGCTACAGGGTGCATAAAACGGCTGTGGAGGACAAAAATAACAAATCGGATGAACAATATTTATGGGCCAATTGGACGAAGATATACAGAGTGAAATAAAAAAACTGCAACAAAGTCGAACGCCATTATTTTTAAAATTTTTGGTTTAAATCTTATTAAATGAAAGCAATAATGTCGGAAATAGCATCAACTTTTAGAATAAGTTTAAATTTGTTCGAATTGGTCACCTTTGTCACAAATTATGGCCTTCAATCGGCCAATGAAACCGTCACCGTTGCCCGAATGTTGCCCTGCGGTTTTTTGGTCCATTCCTGCGCGAAGCGCTTGCTTGAGTTGGTCGACTCCTTGGTATTTTTTTGAAAGGGTCCTATTGGAATGTTCAAGGTCTGCGGCCAAAATGTTTGCGGGCCCAACGCATTAATACACCCTCCAAAATATTTTCGCGATAATATTCGGCATTTATTCTGATGCCAAGGTCGATTAATACGAGCGGAGAGCGACCATCAACTGTTATAGCGGCCCACAACATCACCATGGCCGGCGCTTGAGTTCTGGCCAACTGAAGGTGCACATTTTCAGCTGAACTCTTTGGAAAGTAAACACGATAATTTTGTTTGTTTACATACTGCTGGATAATAAATGTTTTCTCATCGGAGAGAACCAAATTCGACAGTTCACCACTTTTGGCCAAGCGAAGCAACTCTTTAGGTCGTTCGATTATATTTTCTTTCTGTTGCGGTGTAGGTTCTTGCACTTTTTTAGAATTTCAATGGCTTTACCCCGAGCTCATTTTTCAATATTTGCCGAATGGAATATTGCGGTATGTTTATCTCACGAGCCATTTTTCGGTCACTGCGACGCGGGTTTCGATTAAGTCGCTTCTTTGCTTTTGGAACCATTTCTGCTGATGTTGCTGTTTTCTTCCGTCCACTTCCTCGACGTCGGGTTGCGCTACCAGCATCACGGTAACGAGCGATGGTACGAGACACAAAAGATTTATTCACATTTAAATGCTGGAGTTCTCTAACATTAGCCACGTTGGTTTTCTAGCCAAATATAAAGAAATCACACTATCGCGCTTGAATAACATCACCAATAACTTTTTTCTGGAAAATTCTCACCAAAATGCTTTTGTACGCTTGTAAAAAATATAATGAGCTGTCACTAGAATAATTTTAACAGCTGTCAAATGAGTGGCTTAGAAATGACAATACTCTGAAGTTGATTACAGTTTTTTCATCTCACCTTGTGCATGTTTCATACTATTTGGATTTTAAGTGCCTTACATTCGTAATATGGATTCCACAACAGTGATATTTGCTGCCAAGTATCAGATACAGCCCAGAAAGACCTCTGCCAAATTTTATTGAAATCGGCTCAGATTTAGATATAGCGCTCATATATAACTTCAGCCGATTTCGTGTTAATTGTGCACCAAATGCCACCAATTGTGCACCAAATATCTATCCAAAAATCTTGAATTTGGACGCATCCCACCAAATTCAGACTAGAATCAAGTACATCAAATATGAATAAAATCTTTTCAGATATAGCTATAGTTCCCATATAAATGTTTCATCCGATTTGGGGGTTTAAGTCCCTCACATTTGTAATATGCATTTGATAACAATAATATTTGGTACCAGATATCTTATAGAGCTCGGAAATACCTTTGCCAAATTTTATCGATATCGACTCAGATTTGGTTATAGCTCCCACATATATATCCTCTATCCGATTTCAGGTTTACTGTGCAAATAATGACTAATATCAGCCCAAATGAAGTAAACTTCAGGACGTACGTTTCCATTTTGTGGAACTCGGCTCTGATATACATTTTTTTAACATAATCCTTCTCGAAGTGATACCATGCACTCTATAGCAATGTTATTTGGTATAAAAGATTAAAATGTCTCCTTCATGGATATGCCTCCGCTATTTTAGTTCCCTCTGAAACCAAACTATAACTGTTCTAAAATCAAATGTTGTTAGGTGGTATGATCTACTCGAAATAAATTCTTTTGTTACGGGAGCTCTACTAAATATGCACAGTGGTGTAGGATATCATATAGTCCGCCCCGCCCGACTATTGACTTTTCCTGACTGGTTTCATATATCTCAGCACATTTATTATTCCAGGCTCCAATAAATTCATTTTTGTTGATCAAAGTTTTGTCCACCGCCCATGAATGTGGTAATAAGTGACAGGTGTATGTATGAATACGTTAAACCACCAAAAATTTTGTTTTTTTTTTCACTTGCAAAAAATGCAATAACAATTTACACAAAAAGTTAGGACTGAGTAAACTGTTGCAATGATTTTTTAATTAAAATCACTTTTACAGCACCACCAGTAATAAAAAAAAATCAACCTGTACACCAATGCCATGAATATTTGAAATGTATTCTCTCTTTCCATTTTGGTTTCTTTTTTTGTTACAAAACCATTCACCAGCTGTGGAACTGAGAATTTTCCAAATATTTTAACAGAATTTTATCAATGGCTGCAAGCAACAAGAAAAAAAGAGTAGCAAAGCAGACAAGTGTGGATGGAAGCGATGAAAAAATTGGGAAATGTGCGCTGCAGAAAATGATAACAATTTATGCACCCTATGTCACTTTGGATATTTGTGATAGGGATAAATACAAAGCGAGATGAAGAAAATGCAACCAACTTCAGACCGCTGTAATTTCGAAGCCACTCGTCTGACAGCTGTTAAAATAATTCCAGTGACAGCTCATTATATTGTTCACAAGCCTACAAAAGCATTTTGGTAAGAATTATCCAGAAAACAAAATATTCGTAATGGAATTCAAGCGTGGTGGTGTGATTTCTTTATATTTGGCTGGAAAACCACTAGTGGCTATCGTTAAAGCACTCCAGCATTTAAATGTGAATAAATATTTTGTGTTTCGGCCACAGTGTCTCGAAACCCGCGACACTGTGGCCGAAAAATGGCTCGTGAGCTGAACATATAGCAATATTCCTTTCGGCAAATATTGAAAAATGAGCTCAGGGTAAAGCCATTGAAATTCCAAACAGTACAAGAACTTACACCGCAAAAGAAGGAAAATAGACTCAAAAGAGCTAAAGAGTTGCTTCGCTTGGCCGAAAGCGGTGAACTGCCGAATTTGGTTTACTCCGATGAGAAGAAAATCGTTGTCCAGCGGTTTGTAAGCAAACAAAATGAACGTGTTTCGGTTGGCCACCAGAACTCAGGCGCCGGCCATGGTGATGGTGTGGGTCCCCATAACAGCCGATGGTCGCTCTCCGCTCGTATTAATCGACCGTGGCAACAGAATAAGTGCCGAATATTATCGCAAAAATCTTCTGGAGGGTGTTTTAAAGCCTTGGGCACGCAAATATTTAGGCCGCAGACATTGTACATTTCAACAGGACTCAGCGTCATCGCACTCAGCACGCTACACCCAAGAGTGTTTACAAAATTAGGTTCAGCGCACAAAATATTCGGATACCAATCCGGTGGACTATTGTATCTGGAGTATTTTGGAAAGCAAGGTTAGCACTAAAAAATACCAAAGTGTCGGTCAAGCAAGCGCTTCGCAGGCAATGGGCCAAAGTACCACGGAGCAACATTCGAAAAGCGTGTGACGGTCTCATTGGCCGTTTGAAGGCCATAATTCGTGCCAAAGGTGACCAATTCGAAAAAATTTAAACTTATTCTAACATTTGATGCTATTTTCGACATTTTTTGCTTTCATTCAATAAAATTAAAAAAAAAAAAAAAATTGTGGCGTTTGACTTTTTTGCAGTTTTTTATCTCAGCCTGTACATGTTAAATAACGGAATGAGAGATCCATATTTTTTTCATTATTTCCATGTCATCTTAAGAAACCAATTCTTTGCAAAAAAATGAAATTTCTTTGGAAAATATTTCTATTGAAATCGTATAGGTTGGGTGCCACAAGTTCGGTTTAAGCCAACTTAAGCCTCCTTTTTATCTATTTTTTATAAACCCTGCAACATTGAGAAACAAAAAATCCATATATAACTTTACCTTTTTTATTTTACTTTCATATTTTCCCTATACCCATGGCATTGTTGTTGGTGATGCGGCCAATGCTATTTTGCATTTTATTTCCAATGGATGGTTGGTTGGTTTGTTGGATGGATGGTCGCTCGGTCGGTCGGTCGATCGCTTGGATGGATAAATGAATCTATGGTCGAATGCAATACAGCCTGCAAGTTACGGTAAAAAGAACGGCATGTGGTATGCATCGCCTGGCAATCAAGGCTGGGGCTCAAAACCAGCCAGTCGTAAGCCATCAATAATGGAAGCGGATTTGGGCACATTATCGACCACATCGGGTTCGATAAAGCGCAGTGCCGGCCGTGTCATACGTATTATCAATAATTTGGATCACTCAGTTCAGGTAAGTGCACAATTGGGATATGTTAAAAAAAATGAAAATGAAACCAAAATCAGAAAAGGAAGAAGCCTCAATCAAATATAAGCTTCCATAGATGTATACAAACACATATATATGTGTGTGTGAGTAGCTGCTACGTTTAAATGTATATTTGTGTACATTTTTTGAGGAAAACAATCAAATAAACTCAACTCTACTATGTTTCATCTGCGGCAGTTTTAAGTCAATAAATAAAATTTGAAATGTGAAAAACGGGATACTGAATATCTCTTTGCATGGGAATAGGAATTAACAAATATTTGTTTTATAAAAAGAGATTTTTATACCATCCACCATATATATTATATATTAACTTTGTCATTCCGTTTGTAACTCCTCGAAATACTCATGTCAGACCCAACAAAGTACATATATTCTTGATCAGCGTAAAATTCTAAGTCGATTTAGCGATGTCCGTCTGTCTGTTATAATCACGCTATCTTTCACATGAATTGAGATAGATGGCTAAAATTTTGCACACATGTTTATTTTTCCAGTAGGCAGGTTAAATTCGTAAATGGGTCATGTAGGTCCACGTTTCCATATAGCCCCCATATAACGGTACCTCCCGATATTCGGTATTTTGATGATTTTAGCGACATTATTCACCGGTATTGTTTCAAATTTGGTATTTGAAGTTCGAAATAGATACTACAGCCTATGACAGAAAATTATCTTGGCAGGTCAACGTCTTCGTATAGTCCCCATATAATGGTACCTCCCTATATTCGGTATTTTGATGATTTTAGGGACATTATTCAACGGAATTGTTTCAAATTTGGTATTTGACGTTCGAAATGAATACTACACCCTAAAACAGAAAATTGTTTGTGCAGGTCCACGTCTTCCTATAGCCCCCATATAAGGGTACCTCCCAATATTCGGTATTTTGATGATTTTAGCGCCATTATTCACCGGAGTTGTTCCAAATTACGCATTTGGAGTTCGTTATGAGAACTACAATCTGTGATAGAAAATTGTCTATGCAGGTCAAGTCTTCTATAGGCCCCATATATCAGTACCTCCCTATATTTGGTATTTTGACGATTTTAGGTACAATACCCATCGAAATTGTTTGAGATGTGGTATTTGAAGTTCGTAGTGGATGCTCAGCCTGTGACAGATCATTGTCTATGCAGGTGCAGGTCTTCGCACAGCTCCAATATAACGTTACCTCCCTATATGCGATATTTTGACGATTTTACATTATTCACTGTTTATTTCAAGTTTCAAGTTTATAATGGCTTATGACAAACAATGCCTATGTAGGTCCACGTCGTATAGACCCCAATAGACGGCTATATTGGTATTTTCAAAATTTTAACAGAATTTTTTAAAAATTTTATTTTTTGAAAATTTCCAAATTCGTTCCAAAAGGTGGAGGGTATTCAAAGTTCGGCCCAGCCGAACTTACTGCTTTTTAACTTGTTCTTTATCTACTCTCCACCATAGTATGGAGGGTATATTAAGCTTGTCATTCCGTTTGTAACAAAAACAAAAAGTATATATATTCTTGATCAGCATAAAATTCTATGTCGATCTAGCGATGTTCATCCGTCTCTCCGTCTGTTCATCTGTCCCTCTGTGGAAATCGCTCTAGCTTCCGAACGAAATGAAGTAGCTTGATAAAATTTTACTCAAGTATATATTATGTCCACAATACTTTTGGTATTGAAAATGGGTCATATAGGTCCACATTTTGGTATAACCCCTATATAGTAGCACCTCCCTACTTTCGGTATTTTTGTGAATTATGCTACATTATTCACCGGAAATGTTTCAAATGTGGTATTTGAAGTTCGTAATGGATACTACAGCCTATGATAGGAAATTGACTGTGCAGGTCCACGTTTTGGTTTAACCCCTAATGGTACATCCCTATATTCGGTATTTTGATGATTTTAGCTACATTATTCCCCCTTTTTTAAGATTCGCATTTAAATATTGCAATGGCTTATGACAAAAATTGCCTATGCAGATCCACGTCGTCTTATAGACCCTAAAATAACGCCTACATTTGGAAATTGTATTTTTGAAATTGTATTTTTTTGAAAATAGCCAAATTCGTTCCAAATGGTGGAGGGATTTCAAAGTTCGTTTCGGTCGAACTTATTATATTTATTAAATATCTTATTTAAACTAAAACTCTTATTCAACGTCAAAATATAGTTCACTGGTTTACTTAAAAAAAGTTAAAAAATAACTGTCGGTTTTGCCGAATGATGCATACCATCATCCACTGATCATTTGTTTGAACATATTTTGCCTTGCGTTATGATTATTCAAACTGTTGATCCTTTATGGGGGAAGCTCCAAAGGATTGGGCCAAAGTTCTCCATTTCGCATCTGACCTAAGTCTCATATAAATGTGCCACATTTGGACTGTATCGACTGCTTCATTCACCTTTACATGAAAAATGAAGTAATTTTTGGAAAATTAAGAAATGTGCGTGAGGTTTGGTGGACCGAAATGTTCCACTTCATCTAATACTGAAAGAAATATTGGGATGAGTATCTAACATTCATTTCAAGGTTTATGCGAATAATTAATCAAAATTTGACCCTTTGTGGGAGAGTTATCAGAAGGAGTGTGGCGATGAACTTTATATTCACATCAGATCTCAAGTTACCAAGTTTTAAAAGAATCGCTGACTTGTTTCGCAAATTATAAGAGACATAAATATTGAAAATTGTGAAATATTGAGATGTGTTAAAGATAAAGAAAATAATCGGATGATTATTTCGCGTTCTATTAGCCTCATGGTTATTCAAAATATTGACTCCTTTGTGGGGGAGGTACCAAAAGGAGTGATCTGATATATTTCATCTTTACACCAGATTATGTGTTGATAGAAATATTGTGAAGAGTGAAATTTGAAGAGAATCGGATATATATTTTGCAAATTATAAAGATATCATTATTTCTCCTTTGAGGGGAGGTAAGAGGTGGAGTGAACTGACATATTCCATATTCATATTTAAATATTGTGATTTCGAAAATTTAAGGGAATCAGATGCTTACTTCGCATTTTATAAGAGTTATGATTATTCCAAATTTTGACGCTTTGTGGGGGAGGTAGCAGAAGGAGTGGACCGATATTTTCCATTTTCGCACCTAATGTAAAACTGATAAAAATATTGGGATTTGCAAAGTTGGAGCAAAAACTTTTCTCGTTCTGTTCAGTTATACATTTTTTTTGAAAATTTTGATTTTTTTTATGGGGAAGGTACCAGAAGGAGTAGACTTATATTGCCCATCTCCGACCTCAATCTAAGTTTGATAACAATATTCAATCAAGCAAATAGACTTGTCTTAGTCTTCATTTTAAAAAACATGTGCGCATATTATATATGTCTGTTGAAATTAGGATTGGATTTAGTAGGCTTTAAAAGTTGAACGTTGATATGTCAAAATGTTTAAAATGTTTTATGAAAAATAAGTGGATTTTTAAATGGTTTTTTATATAACGCAAATCAGAGGTTGTTATGATATAAAATTTTCAACAATTTTTAAAAATTTTCATTCAACATTTTCATTCATAAAACCGGTTTGACAGTTCATAGTCCCAGCAACTGTGTCGACGCGACTACCTGTATTCTTCTACCATGGTATTGACCATATAATTGACGTAGCCCACGGGAAATAATCTAACGGCGCCAATCGCACTACCGAGGAGGCCAATCGACTTGAACATTTCGTGAGATAATACGTTCACCTCACTTAGTTTTATTGTGTCATAAGCTGTGTGACTTTAAGCGCCGTCCTATTGGAAGCACATACCCTTCAAGTCAATATTATACAATTTGGGGCCAAAAATATTAGATTCGCATTCACAGTAATGTGCCGATCTTGATCAACGCGGTCCAAATCGTATTTTTTTCTGTCATTTTCTGAAGTTATAGTCAAATTATCGATTTTTTGTACTCGGATTTTTTTATAAAAAAGTCAGAAAAGGCCGGCCACTTACATAAGGTGTCCAATTTAGAAAACTTTGGTTCGCGTTAGCCGGTGTAGGACATACCCAGAGGAGAAAATCTCAAGCCACGGCCGAAGGACGGCTATTTACTAAAAGTGTCAAATGTAGAAAACTTTGGTTCGCGTTAACCGGTGTAGGACATACACAGAGGAGAAAATCCAAAGCTCCGGCCAAAGGCCGGCTACTTACAAATGGTATCAAATTTAGAAAACCTTGAGTTCGTGTTAACTGGGTGGGACATATCCAGAGGAGAAAATCTCAAGCCCCGGCCGAAGGTCGGCTATTTACAAAAAGTGTCAAATTTAGAAAGTTTTGGTTCGCGTTAGCCGAGGTAGGACATACCCAGAGGAGGAAATCTCAAGCCCCTGCCGAAGGCCAGCTATTTACTAAAAGTGTCAAATTTAGAAAACTTTTGTAATTCCAACGTCGGCTTCGCGAAATAAACCCTTTTTTACTGAAAACATAATTTTAATGAACTGGTTAGAATCGGCTAATGCGGATGGAAGGACCCCGACGTCACAGAGATTTCCAAGGCTTGGGAACGACGTGCAAGAGACACATTTGGACTTTCCTGAAATGAAGCCTCAGCGACAGTAATATTCTCGGAACTACTGACACTTCTTTTGTCTCGCTGGCATGGGAACAATATGTACTGTGCCAATGGATTTAATTTTTTCCACCAGACGCTCAATTTTTGATCTGTTAGGACAATTATAAAGGCCATAATGTGGATATTGCGGTCTTAAATTTGAGGCCACTGACTCCGAATAACCACTTACAAGAATAATTGGACTGATTAATCTAATAGTGGAATGTGTAAAGAATATCGAACACTTAAGGAGAGTAATTATATAAAATTATCTTATATTGTGGTCAAGTTATTAAATACCCTTAATGCCGAAAAAAAACTACTCATACAGAATACTGTGTGGTTGTCAATAAAATGCTCAATGTATTGATCCGTATAGTGGTAACCCTCTTAACAAA